AATATTTTTTCACTGGATTAACAGAAGAGTTTGGGAGAACAAAAGAAAATATGGCCAACTACTTATTTAATCAAAGTGATTCATAAAAAGATCTTAAAAAACTCAGCTTTTGGGGCAGATAAGATAGGACCGAGGAGGGCTGAAGTTTTGGTTTTCAAGTATGTATGTACTCAGTGAGGCTGAGGAAAGGCCACTGTTGGAGCCTTGCTGTAAAGATGAAAGGAGATGGTGTGTTCCTCCAATGGTACTTGCTAAGGATGCAATAAATTTGGATCCAGCTACAGGTATTTTTACAACTTGAATATCCATTTCCAGATGACACAAAGGACTTCTCAGGTGACCCTGAATAGGCCATTTACATAAATCTCCATGTTACTTAAATGAACCATTTCCGTGGACAGAAGTGATGCTGAGGCTTATTCATTTGCTTTTATAAATACACTGAAATAGCTGGATGAAAGAATTTCTCTGAGGTACAAAATATGTTGGGGCAAATTCTACCCTTCTGGAGGCAGAGAGGGACCAGGCAGGCTTGAGGACATTTAGGGGAAGCCTCTGGCATATTAAGTTTGAAACTAACTACTTTGAGTACATCGGGTGTTTTAACCACATGTATAACTTATTATTCTAGTAATTACTTTCCTTTAACATTTCCCTCCTAAAATCTCAGCTCTGTGTATAGGGAATCTTTAGAGGGAGCCTGTGAACTTTTAGATTGTGATAGAGATAGTTCTTGCAGCAAGAAAGTCAGCTTTAAGGTTAGGAATGATAGGGGGTGGCCTGCTAAACATGATAGGAGAGTCACCCAGTCCCCGCCAGTTTCCATGGTTCCCTTCTACCTGCCCTGAACTCTGGGGCCTATAAGCACAATGTAATTTCCAATTTGCCCTAATAGCCCTGGTTACTACCTGCGTTACTTGTGAAATAAAGGCTGGTCCGTTGTCGGACCCTATTATAGCCCCCGGTTCTCCTAACCCAAGGAGGTTTCGGCCAGTCTCCGAGTCAGATTCCTCCTCTCTTGGAGAACTTCAAAGTCCTGATGGCTTCTAGGTCCAGGGAGAGTGCCCTTTTGTGAACCCTGTTTGTTAGTTACAGGGCTCTGCTTTCTTGCCTTTCTACCAGTTCCCTTTGTGGCAGAGCAGCAACCAGGCTTCTTTCAAGGGAGTGTGCTAGAAGGGGATATCAGCCCCTCCTTTGCTAGCAGCAACAGGTATCGAACCCTTTCAATACATTTAACCAGCTTTATTCCCAGCCATTTTTAAAGATTCTAGGGCCTGTTGCCTTCCTTTAACCAGGAAGCCAAATGACACTGGCCTGTATTATTTAATTCAGCACAGACAGGGGGCCCATAAAATCTCTGCCCTGAGGAACTGTGAGCCCCACCCCTAAATGTCCCAACCCAGCACAGAATATCACATATCAAATCAAAGTTCCCAGCAAACAAACAGACAGAAATGTTTACTAGTTAGGCAGGCCGATTCCACCTCTGACAGAGAGCAAGTGCCCTTGGGAAAAGTACCCAGCCGCCGCTAGGGGCGTTTTGCTATCGGTCACAGCATTCAGCCTTAAATCAAACATTTTTTTTTCACAGACTTCCACACTTACACGAACAAATAATTATACCCAAGTAGACATACAAACATCAAATAAACATCCACACTTACACCCTTTCAGTGAACAAATACTTTTACAGTCTTGGGTGTGCTAGGGTGAGGGACTGCGGCATGGAAGGGTTACAGAATGTTACAGAATGTGCTAAGGGGAGGGAATGAGACATGAGAAATTGAATGTGCTCGGTGGGAGGGGGATGTATGAGGAAGGATTGTGTTGTCAGGATATGGAGAAGGATTGTGTATGTGCTGGGAGTGGGGACTGACATATGGAGAGGGATTGCAGGGTTAGGAACCATGGAAGAAAAATTGCTAGATTGTCTTAGAAAAACAATGTGTTATGATACGCTCCAGCCAGGTGTGACTCTGTTTACCCCGCCTTTGTTCTTATGAACTTTCTGTGAACTTCTAAGGTAACACTGTTTTGCTATAAAGGATCATACTGCACCCTTGATCTCTGCCACATGCTCCGAAGCTCCCAGAGGGGGAGCTAGGTGCTGTGGTCAGCTGGCCAGCTTAATAAAGGCTCTTACATTTAAATTCTGAGTCAGTGGTCTATCTCGTTGAGCCAACCCATAACATTGGGATCTTGAGCAGATAACAGGAACACCGCCCAAGTCCCCTGATGGGGGCCTGACAGGAACAGATGTGGGGGCCTCCCTTTCCCACATCCCAGGACAGGATTCTTGACCCATGTCTCATCCAGACAGAAATGGTACTCATACTGAACAAAGAAAACAAGATTAAATAGACACGACAACTAGATACATTCCCCATTAATTTCAAGCCACTTTTCTCTTTACACGTGCACAGAAATCCCAGACGCATTTTTAAATTTTGTCAAGAAGGACTTTAAATTATTTGCTACTACCACCAAGACCTGCACTTGCGGCGGCTCCACCCGGGCCCGCGCCCTAGGCTTCAAGGCTCACCGCAGCAGCCCTGGAAAACCACACCTGAAGCTGGCAAGCAGGTTTCGTCCAGCCCTTGACTTTAAAACGACCATAATGCTTAAAGAGGTAGTTTGAGTCTGTTCCATAATGTCCGTCCAGTAAGTCCACAGAATAAAATAGAAAAACACAGACACAGACAAAAAGAGGGCCCCAAAGAACAGCCTTCCAACTCCATGGAAGCAACTAGACGATGGCCTTATGCCAAACCGGTGGGAGCGACCTGCCTTGTCTCAAATCTGTGAGGGGAAACCACATCCCTCGTGAGGGGAATACGCATCCCTCCTGGGGAGTGGAACATCTTCCTACTCTCCACGCCCGTGGTTCTTAAGCAGTACGTCCACCTAGACTGCTTCGGGCACTACAGAATTTCAGAAGTGAGCTCACACAGGACAGAACATATAACACACAGAACAACACACAGATCAGCAGACAATTTCCAGGAATAGACAAAGTATCTGATTAGCTCATCAGTAGATGATTTCCAGGAATAGGCAGAGTATCTGATCAATAATAATCAACAAGGATCTACATAAGTATCTAAGGAATTAAGTGAACTAAGGTGGGGATGATGCTTCAACTATTATTACCTAAATTAACTGGGTGGTTCCTAGATTAACTGGGTGGTGCACAGTTCTGACCTTTGCTAGGACTTCAAAGGTTACTAGCTTTTGGGGGTCTCTGTCTAAACTCAGCTAGTGAAGACAATGAATGGACTC